AATATTTTGCATGCAAATTTTTCAATAAAATTTGCCTAAGCTTCACTTCCTATAATATAGTATGATCTGCTGAGCATACCTGTAGATAATGAGAACACTGTTAAGCATTTTTAAAAGTGTCCTACTGAGACTGTAAAAATACAATTTAAAGCAAGTAAGTTATGCAATTTGAGAAACTGCCTGCTCTAGGATTGCTGAAATTTTTGAAAACAGGGTTACACAGAGGAAACTTTTTTCAAAGTGGTATCAAAACTAGTTTTACAAGAGATTTGCACTTCACTCAGAAAAAGTGAAGGCCCTTCAACTGTTGGCCACACAGATGCCTGACCTTTAAAGACAAAGTCAGGTATTGCTACTACAACTTCATAAATCACAGTCACCCAATGATGCCTTGAGAAAGTGCTCTTTTACAGCCCAAGGTGTATCCATTAGGGCCTTTTAATAAATACCTACTTTATTCTTTAACTCTGTCTAGCCTCTGTTCTTGGTCAGCCTTCTCAAGGCACCACAGAAACCCTCCCTTCTGCAAGGAGGGAACTGCAAGGAACCAATCAGAGTAAGTTTTCCTATCTCACACAGACAAACAATAACAACATTAAGTGTAAATCAGTGGAGCTGAAAGAAGAACATGCAGTGGAAAATAGTATCTGCTGGCTTGTCAGCATTCCAAATTCATAAGGCTTAAATTACAGCTGCATCATTTGTAGCAAAATTTGAGGATAAGAAGTTCTGCATGCAATCTTTCCAAATGCCATTTTGAAATTCTTACTGATGAAGTACAAAATGTTTCCTCATGAAATATTGTAGCCTTTTTAATCAAAGAATGTCTCTTCAAGCAGTCAGCTTCTTGTAATGTTGAATCAACATAAACTTTAACATTTTGCCTTTGGCAATGAGGAAGATAAATATTTTATTCTGCTCACTGAGGTGAATCTTGGTCTCTAATGCAAAATGTGTACTCCATAATGAAAACTGCAAATGAAAGGTGCAAATTTTCTGCTACTGATGATATATTCCAGCTCCAGCTCACCTAGGGGAGATACACAATCTCACATCACATCACAGCCCAGAAAATGTGAAATAATGAATGGAGGACTGCATTAATCAGTGGACATGTCTGCAAAAGTGGAAAGTAAACAGATAATGAAAGAACCGAGAATGTGAACATCTACAGAAAAAGTCCAAACCAGTGCCTGTTAGATAAATTTATCACCAACTATTTTTTAGAAATAAACATAGAAGGAGAGAACCAGATGAGGAATCTAGAGGGGGAAAATAACCCAAATAACAAACCAAAAGCCAAATGGAGTCTCTTTCTACATCACATCTTAATAGCCAGTATTATATACCCCATGGCGAACCAGGCTGGCATGACAACATGAATTCCTTATGGGGTCATACACTGGGTAACTTCAGGTCTCATAACTCTCCTGCTTACTCCCAAGGGCTTGGCAAGGAAATACAACCATGCTTATGGAAATGGATAAATAAGTGCAAACTTGCAGTGTTATTTCAGTATTATCACTAGAAATTGCTGCTTTTGTATTTTAGAACTTACACAGTAGGAAAAAAAAAAAAGAGTAGGATTTTCTGAAAGCTTTAAAGGTAGAATTTTTTTCTCTCAAAGTTACTTTGAATATATTTACATTATTACTAGCAAATTCAAAGTAACACACTTAATTACTATCTCCAGTAAGAAACTACTATTGTTTTGCTGTCTCCCTGTTATTCCCTTGCTATTTGCACAACTGATTTCATAGTCTGTCATCAGTCCCCATTAATGCTGACACAGTGATGCAAACAACCAACATGAAGTAAGCCTACATGTCAAAAGAAGAAACTAATCATTTTGTATTTGGGAACTGAAGTCTTGGTAGAGAATGTAGAACAGAAAGGTCTAGTTTGGTTTAAGGCAAAATATTCATTTTTTTCTTCCTTGATGTTCAATTACAACTGTCAGCTAGTCTGGAGTAAAGCAAACCCTGTTCTTTTAATGTGTTTTCAGCTGGCAGATAGCCTTTTACAGAACAGGACATAAGTGAGAGTCTAGCCAGTATAACACTAGGTTTAGTTAATGGCTAATCTGGCATTTGTTCAACTGTGTATTTCAAACAGCAAGACAGAGAAGGTGCATAAAAAGAAAAAAATATGAAGCTCTATCTTCACCACCTCATTTATGTGGCTGATGGAAATGATAGCCTATCAGAAGTGTCAGCATTCTAGTGAAAGCTGGCATGTAAATATTTATGCATTATGCAAGATAGTCAAGCCCTGGCTGGCTGTCCTTTCCCGTATTTCTAGCAATAACAGACACTGCAGTGCAGATAAGAAAAAGCAAAAAAGCTTTACATCATATAATTTAAAACAATTTAAAATAGTCATTAGTATGAACCTTAATATACAAAATGCTAAATTCTTCTAAGGTTAGAGAGACCTTAGTTATCTGGGAATAAAAAGTGCTTGCACACGAATATTCAGAAGGACATTGCTTCTTGTGAGATTACTAAGGAAACTATACATCAAGCTTTAACATTATATATAAACCGTGGCTTTTTTTGGAATAAATTTTGGTGCTTTGTTTGGCTTTTATGGAAACATGGAAATCAGACCATTCATTGTGCATGACTGATTTTTTAAATATCTTTTCCCCATCAAATACACCTGCTTGCAGTTCCTTGTCCGATAGATAGCAAAATCTGTTGGTAGCAAGTGAAAAATATTTCCATCTGAACATGATGAATAGACCTTGGTACATGAGCTTAGAAGTATTCAGCAAGTTCTTAGCATTGCAAGCTTGCCAGCACATCTGATGCTCACTGGCAGCTGTGTGAAGAGTTCCATTGCCAAACAGAGAAGTGGTAGTAGAGAGGTCTTTCCCTCCCTAGGGATGGTCGCCATTCATGGGCAGAGGCAAACTGGTGAGACACACAGAGCTACTGCCTGTGCTGTAGGGCCTCTGTGGAGAAGTAAGGCAGCTGTCTCCAGGGTTGGATTTCATATGAATTGCAGTCAGCTAAAAAACTAAGGCCTGACAACCCAATTTACACAGCCAAATGTTCTACACTACCCAGAGGAATTCTTTACACACCTCCAGAGGCCAATAAATAGGCTAATAATTTCTGAATTTGATTATTACACTGTCAAGACCAGAGTAGGATGTGCTTCAGAATGTCATAAGAAACAAAGATTAAGACAACAGCCGGCATGTTCTTCCCCAATGTCAGTGCTATCAATATAACAGAACACATCCTAATTATCACCACACCCCACCAGGACAACCCCAATTAACAGGGCTGATGAGCCCCGTGGTGTTCATCATAATAAGACTTTGAGACTGGGGCAGATATATGCTGTGAGAAGACACAGCTGTAGTATTCCTTTTATCAGGGACCAAGACAGTCATGTTCTTGTTGCCTCTATCACCTGATTCATGTGTCTTCAAGAACAATACCTATAAAATAGCTGAGCAACATTCCTTCCCATTGAAGTGAATAAATAATTAGAATGATCCTTCTTAGCAACAGGAGCCTAAGATAAAAAAATCTATATTTTTTTTAGATGGTATGGTGTCAATCTTCAAAGTGATTAATAAGTTCATACAATATCTATTTCCCCTCAGGTATTGTTTTTAAAAGCAGAACACAAGCTAAAGGTATATATGGCTAGCATTCTTTTACACAATCAATTGAAAAAAAAAAAAAAACAGCCAACTAAACATTAAGCACTATTTAGTAAGCAATTAAATTGTGTCATAAGTTCTAGCCCGTAAACTTTTTAGTTTGTTGCTGTGCTGAACTTTCTCCTGTTTCTAAGTATCTCTCTTCTGCTACAAAGGACTCAAAGCTGGACAAATACTCTAGATGCAACCTCAGACATCAAGAGAGATAATCAGTGACTGATGTGCTGGCTGTGCTTTTGCTAGCCCAGCCTGCATATTCCACCTCATCCCCACAGGGAGCAGTGCCGACTCAACTTGCCAACCACAGGAGCTTCATGGCCCTTTCTGCAGCTCCTTTCTAGCCCATCTGTGTCAAGACTGAACTGAGACTTAACTGCACTACAGGTGCTCGACTTTGTACCTCTCTTTCTTGTGGAAGTTCATGAGGCTCAAGTCATCCTATTCCTTCAAGCTGTTGAGATTGCTCTGAAAGACATTTCTGCATTCACTTGATAATGACAGCTGGACCTGAATAAGACTGTGTCCCACACCATTATCTCTGTTACCCATGAACATACTATAATGTCTCAGATCCAGTATCAAACCCTGAGGACCACCATATGTAAATAGGTGCCAGTTAAATCTCAACCAGCTGACCTTTTAAATTTCACCAAACCAGACGGCTTTTCACCTACCTTTTAGCCCACAAATTCACTCCCTACCCTCATTAAGAATATTTTCCTCCCCATACTTACTACACTTCTTCCAATTTCTGCTACAAATACAGAAGTCTAAATTGAAAGCAAGATAAAGGACAGTAACTGCTGTTACTGTTAAGTTCAATTTATCTATTCCTTGTATTATTTCAGTCCATAGGAGTGCAAATCTAAGTACAAAAAGGGAGATATAATCTTATATTTAGTTGTCAAGACCCTTTTATTGAACATAAATCTTAGGACTAAAAAATTGGCCAACAAAGCACCATGTTGCTCCAACAGAACAAAGTGCTGTCAGCTTTAACAAAAATTGGATAAATCAGCACCTGTTGTGGTCCAGGACTGGAGGAATACTGCTCTACGTATAAAGAGACTGCAACTCAGGTGAGCTCTCAGAGCAGTTCTGAAGCTGATGAAGAGGTAACTGACATTTGACATATTAACACAGAAAGGGAGATTTGATAAAGCTGCCAAAAAAGAAGCAGTATTGTTGAGCTTACAGTCATGCCCAAGGAATTATGTTGTACGCTTGAAAGAAATTGAGGAAAGAGAAACAACACAATCTGTAATCCTAAAAAAAAAAAAGAAGAAGAAGCAAAGCCATTTATTTAAAGCTTGATCCCTACCTGGTCCAATGGAACTTCCACAAGAGTATCTTCATCTTCTTGCACTTCAACTGCCCCCCACATTTCAGACCCCTCTTCTCTGGCTTTGTAAATATCTTCACCTTTAATGGGAAAGATAGAGTGGAAAGAAGTGAAGTCCAATGGTGACACAGTGTGGCTCAACTACTGAACTGCACATTCAATTTTGCTTCTGAGAACAGCTTTCTGAGCTGACCCGTCATTCCTCATACAGTTCTTTCAAGGAAGTCTTCAGTGTCCCATGACTATCAATGTGTTTTTCTTTCCTTTTAACAACAAATATTTACATACTATACCACTTGAGCAAGGAGGGAGAAAAGACAAAGAGAAAGGGAACTGAACAAAGTCCTGGATCTGAAGTTCCTTCACTTTGGGCAAAGCTTCAGAGTGAATCCAAACTAGATACATTACAACAACAACATAATACTTCTGTTTCTACAGTCAATTATAGTATCCTTTAGTAATGAACATTATAACATAACATCTATCAAAAATGTCAGTCTCTGAATCAAAATTAAACATGCTGAATCAGGTTATGGTTAAAAGATTAAGATAAACAGTTGGATTAGTTCTACGCCTCAACTCTGGGCACATGCATGTAGATCTATGATTGAAAATCCGTATCTGCATTAAAAAGCATGTACTTCTGGAAAACAAGGATTAACAGTTATATTTTGCAAAGATTTTACACCATTTAGTTTAAGTAATTTCTTTTTCCTGAGTATAAGAAGTAACTAAAGGTCTTTGAAGTTTCCAGCACAAGTCTTACAGTATCAGCTAATTAGGAAAGTGACTATAGGTACCTACAGAAAACAATTTCCAAGTGATGCATGGTCCTCTGTATTTTTCCCTAAACTGAAAACAGCCCAGAAAGTAAAGGCACAAGTTACTCCAAATCATCTCTCTCCATTGATCTAGGAAAGATGAAGATGTGTCCATATCAAACATAATATGTAACTGCAGTAAGAAAGACAAAAAAGTATTTCCACTGTTTCTGACTGCCTCCTAGTTCTTCATAAAAGGATCTGAACTTGGTAATATCAATTGACTATGCAAATTGATCTACATTGCTGCATGCTGCTAAATGAACATCTTTCGTGTAGCACAGAACCAATTTGGTGGAAAAATAATTAATAAAACCACAAGACCTAGAGAAATCCAGAGTCCATCCATGTAAAAACTCAGCACTGACTACTCTGGTAGTTTTCCAGTTACTTTCTCATCACTATGAGAGCGAAGGGAAAAGTTTCTGAGGCACCATACCACTGCAAATGGCTGACTGGAGGGGAGGTGCCAGATAGCCTTGGACAGCGGTCTGACAGCCACTGCCCAAAGGACCAGAAATGAAGGCCATTCTCACAGTCTGAAAGGAAGAGGCAGAAATGGGGGTTTCTATGGCACAACACAATGAAATTATGAAGTGGTACCCAGGAGAGAGATTTCCTGATGGACAAAGCAGATTGATTACCCAGGCAACAGTCATGCTGGAACCTCCCCACCCTACCAAAAGATCTATACTACTCGTCCTCTGAAAGTATCCCTGTTGGAAACACCAGAGGGCTCTTAGCATCATTGGTTGGACTCTTATCCTAAATAACTCACATGTTTTTCAAGACCTCCTTTTCATACTTCACATGAAAATAAACATTTTCTTTCTTAATTTCCCTTTTCTTGGGCTTTATTAAATACAATGCATATGCATGGATGTTCCATTGAAACCAACTGAGGACATTCAATACTTGATGGCAGTAAGATAAATCTTGGACAATCTACCTCTATATATCTTGTTACAAATCCTCTTTGACACAAGACTTGTTTGGGTTTTTTGATAAAATCAGCAACAAAAACATGGAGTGGCTGAGAATAACAAAAAAATGCATCTGAACAGATGCTACTTGTACTTTTTCAAATAATCAATGCACTTCACACTTCCCATTTTTCTGAGCTCTGTAAGAGACAGAATGTTCATTTCTCTTACCTGGTATGATCATTGTTGCCTCTCATCATGGGCACTTGAGTTATAGATTTCCACCATATTCTGAGAGGAAAACGTAATGTGTTCCCTAAAAGCCATCATGAAGACTCTCCTATTTCAAGGCCTTCCCCTAAGTATGTAAGAAAATAGCCTTGCCCTAGATTCCTTGGCTCAATGAATTACAAAAAGTCAACTCAGTGTCTGAAAGAACTGCATATAATATCACCAGCCTTCCATTTAGACTTTTATGTAATAACACCTCTGCCTTCAAGGTCCCCAAGTCTTTCAGACAAAATGGGGACTGTCTGGTCTCTAGAGGTAAGAAGGATTTTGGTGGAGAGGAAATTACTCCAGGGCAAAAGGAAGAGTACAAGGGAGATGAATATGTGTTATCCCTGGAGGCCAAATCCACTCAAGAGCTGAGGATTCTCAACTTTAAAGCACCTCTTCTTAGAAGAGTAGATCAGGCTCAGGGCCATGCTGAACAACCCAAGGAGACAGACGTACAGTATTTTGAAAAGACTTATTCATGGAACCAGAAGGGAGCAGGAGACAGGAAAGAAGGCTGTAAGTTTCAGAAAGGAATCATATTTCTCATTTAAAAGAGAGTGCCCAAAAAGGTAGTAACAGCCGGATTTCAATAAGCAATATCTGAACTCTCCATGGAATTTCCTCCAAACACTTTCTATCAGGCGCTTGCACAGAAAGCTGGTCATAAATGAAAAGATATTAGTTGAAAAGAACTCTGCACAACACTGCAGCATCTCTCGAGGATACCACTGTTCATTGTCTTCCACATAAAGCATTCTCAAGAGAAACTGCACTCCTGTTCTTCCACAGACTGAAAATATTATTTAAGGAAAACAGACCATTTACAAAAAAAAGGGAAATTAATTATTTACCTCTGCACAAACATAAAAGAATGGAAGATAGATGTCCAAAATATGTGTATAGTTGGGGAAGGAATTAAAACACTTAGGTCTGAAATGTGCCAAAAGAGATGAAGGAAAAAATGACACTAACTGGAAAATGGGGAAGTTGTAATACTTGGACAAAAAGTTCCAAAGGAAATGGAAAGGAATGCAATTAGTCTTACATTAAGACACACACTGCTGTTTTTTGTTACAATAAGTGAAAAGAAATACAGAAATTGCAAAATAATTTACATAAAATAAATTTGAATAAATGGAGCATTATGAAAATATCTTAAAATGTTAACATATTAGCATTGCTACTCTGCAGCCATAAGTACACTTTCTGCATGTGAAGTTACAAATATCTGGATGATGGAAGCTGAGTGAAAGGCCAACACATTTCTTGTTTGCTTGATTCTGTGTCAAGATCTTGTCAATAGGGGTTTGCAGGCCACATTAATCACAATTATCGGTGCTCTGAATTACTTCCAAGGAAATGTTTTCAGTTGGGTAACTTTGCCTCATATTTTATAAATAATGCTTTTTGGTTTAGGGAAAAAAAAGTATGAAAAAATCTTATTGATACAATATTTCACATCTCTGTGTCTGAATCATTAGTCACTTTCTTCACGTCTAAGGGAGAAAAAACAAGAAAGCATTTTAGAAAATGCCATAAATTACATTAAAAAAAACATTTTTGCAAGTCTTCATCCTGTATTGTTATCGGCTTCTATTGCAATCTCTGCTGAAGCAGAAATATGTGGTGCACCTTGCTGAAAAGAAAAATTACAGCCCTTCCTTTAAATGGAACATTTATGACTACTCTGAACTGTTCACACAAAACTGTAGATTAAACATGCTCCTCTTTTATGTGTCAGCTCTGATTTTCTTTTGCCTCAAACTACCTGAGAACTGACCTAAGACAGGGCGATGACAACACTGGGGCAGAAGAGCTCTGAAGGGGGGCAAGAAAGGAAGGCATGTCTCCTTGCAGCATTGCTGCTAAGTATAAACAGAGGATTTATTTCAGTTAGGTTCTCAGTTCTCCATGCCACAGCAAGTGTAGCTTCTGCCAAGAGACCAAGCAAAATATTATTGAAAGTTTTGTGATTTCTGTGAGGATATTTTTCCGTGGTGTCCAGACAAAAATAAGATACTGGAGTTTTTCACTGCATGACAATAGATTACCTTGAGCCAAAAATCAGCACTATTTTTTATACCCTAAACAGAGAGAGCTAGGTAACTGAAATATCTCCCGTTATTTCTGATTGTCTTAAAGCAGGGAAATGTTCAGCAACTTAGGTAAAAAGGGGGAAGAAGAACCTGCAGAAGAGCAAAGAACAGAGCATACAAAAGGAGCAGCCAGGTGGAGAGAGAGAGAATATGCAGAGGCTGGAGGATGGAGACACTGAGGGAGATTATAAAGGCACAGTGATGTTAGAAAAAATATGTGGAATTAGTAACTGTATAAGAGCAAATAGAAATATGAGGAAATACTGGTGAGAAAAAGGGAAGCAGTAGGGTTCAATGCACTGACTGGAAGGCAGAAAATTGGCTGTTAGGGAGTAGGAGAGTAGAAGATTGAAAGAATGAGAGGGGGAGAAAAAATAAGTCAGCAGGCACCCAAGCCACTTTAAGCTTCTTAAAAGAATCTTCCTCCAGGAAAGCCTGCTTAGAGGACTGCTGTTGGACTACTACCTACCAGCAATTGAATGTTTATGTTCCCATGTTACCACACACACAGAAGTGCAGGAAAGAAAACAGCAGTGAGAAAAATACTCCTTGTTTTCAGGCAGGTATTTTTACTGATTTTTGTTCATATTTATTTCTTCAACAAACAATACTTATTAGGACTCTGGAGAGTGGGAAGAGTTCTTACAGGGTTTTTCTGGTGTCAGGCTGAAGAGTTGAATGAAAACTGCAACTGTAAGTGCTTTCCTATAGAGTTTCTTTGAGAGCTGTGCTTCTCCTGCCTCTTCTACAGCTCCACGATCCCACAGAGACAAAGAGTGATGAAATCTCAGGAGGATCCAGATGTTTTAAAGCTCTAAATTCCTTGAAGTTTTGTCAGGGTTATCAGGAAAGGGAACATTTGGAGCCTGGTAACAGCCCTGCCAAGGAAAGGTAACTATTGCCTCAAAAAAGTTATGGACCAACTCAGCCTGTCCTAGGTAAATTCAAATTAAACAGGTGT